ATTTCATTATTATGTGAATTGACCCCAACAACCTCTTCAGCCAGCTTCATTATGCCCGAAAATGACAACTCACTCCCAACACCCCTCACTCGTGTCTCACCACTCTTGTAAATGTCATCGATCCAATGACTATTGTATGTAATTAAAAGCTTCACATTTGGCAAGTCATTGAAATTTAACAGAAAATAAGTGTCACACTCAGTCAAGTTATCAAAAATCGTCCCTTAATGCATAAAAACCACTTACGCAATGCTTAAGTTATATTTCATAGGCCGCTGAAATTTAACAGAAAATAAGTGTCGCAATTTCTAATACATATTCATGCAATGCCTAAAAACTAGCGAACAAAAGCCTCAAAACAAGAGATGAATTGTACAAGTCACACACCGTCAATCTCGCAATACCTAATAATAAGTCACTCAATGCATAATATCCACTCACATTATGCCAACATAACCAGTCACGTAAAGCCCCAATGTCACGCAACACATAATAATAGGTCATGTCATACATAAAAATCAGTCACGCAGTGCCTACAAACTAGTGAACAAAAGCTTCAAAACAAAAGATGAATTGCACAAGTCACACACCTCCTGTCTCGCAATACTTAATAATAAGTCAGTCAATGCATAGTATCCACTCATATTATGCCAACATAACCAGTCATGTAACGGCTCAATGTCACGCAATACATAACAACAAGTGATGCAATAAATAAAAATCAGTCACATAGTACCTACAAACTACTAAACAAAATCCTCAAAACAAAAGATGAATTGCACAAGTCACGCACCTCTAATCTCGCAATACTTATTAATAAGTCACTTAATGCGTAATATCTACTCACATTATGCTAACATAAACAACTCAATATTACACAATATATAAAAATCAATCACACAATGCCTACAAACTACTGAACAAAAGCCTTAAAACAAGAGATGAATTGCACAAGTCATGCACCTCTAGTCTCGCAATACCTAATAATAAGTCACTCGATGTCTAATATCCACTCACGTTATGCCAACATAACCAATCACGTACTGCTCCAACGTCATGCAATACATAACAACAAGTTACCATATACATACAAACCACTCACGTAATGTCTCAACAGAAGATATGCATTGCACAATTCACGTAGCACCTATAACCTAGTCTCGCAATACCTAATAATAGGTCACGCAATGCCTAACATTGACTAACGTTTGCTTCTCTTATATAAATAGAAAATAAAGTTATTCGACAAAATATAAAATAAATAAACCAAGAAAATATGAGATCAATGAAAATTTTTATTTTATTCATAATTGAAAAAAAAGGAAATGATACAAAAAAAATGAACTATAGTTCATTTCTTCCTAAGTTCTATTTCATATATTTCAACCAGAATCTTGTTGTTGGCCAAGATATCTCCCTCTAGGTAGGGGTGTGCAAACAGTTAGTTCGGTTAATTCTGTTATTGGATATCCAATAACCGAACTAATCAAACTCTTATTTAAAAATAACTGAAACCGAACTGAAGTATATAACTAACCAAACTAACCGAAATCAAACTAATTCGGTTAATTAGGTTCGGTTTCCAAAAATTGAACTTAATAAATTTTTTTGTTTGTATATATTTATTTATGTTGTATTTTTTTAAATAAATCAATATTACAAAATATTAAAAATGACCTTAAAAAATGTCCTGGCCACCAGCTTGTCCATCAGGGCATGCATCTCTTGCTGGATTTTCTCGACTTGCTCCCTTAGGGCAAGCATTTCGGCATGTCATCCTCAAAGGTCGCCCCTCTCCCAATGTCGACTCTTGGACATTTTGATACCATTCCAATTATCTGGTTGCTTAAGATAATTGAATTTGATTAAAATGGTTAATGGTTCCCTTTATTTATAGGCATGAATACTGACTCTTTATTTTCTACATCGATATAAGTGCAATTAAGGGGAACTGAATTGGTTATTAAGTATATTAAGTACTTATTCTGCCTAGCATTTTTTCAGCCTATCTACCTTTTAAAACCAAATGCCAAGCCAAACATCATTTTTTGAGAAATTCTTAATAACAAGCAACTTTTTTTTAAGAACAAAATTTTTGAAAAAACAACTTAAAGAAAAGCTCGAGGGAGGAAATTTCTCTTTCTTTTTTTTCAAAAAACATATTAATTTTTCAAAAAATATCCATCTTTCAATCAATCTCTCTCTCCTCTCATTTCCTCTGCAAATTACCATTCTTCAACGTAAGTCACAATTTTCCTCTCTTTTACCTCTCTCTACAAAAACTACTAAAAAAATAAAAGACACAACAATAGAATATCAAAATCTAGAATTTTTTTGTTCTCACAAAGATTAAGAGAAAAAAATTTTAAAATTTAAAACTGCATTCAGATGTTATTTAGAGGTTTTCTCTCTTTTTTATCAAAAAGGATTTTAATGTTACATACATCGTTTCCTCTTTTCTTTACTTTTTTCATAATTTAAGCATCATGGCCCAATTGCTTGCTAGATCAACAAAAATCTAATACTATTGCTACTATACAAGTATGAAAATTGTTCCGTTTCTTTATTGATTTCTTTGATTTTAACATTTGAAATTATATATAAACTTGAATCATTACATTATAGCTTATTAGGTGATTGA